GCGTGTCAGCCCTCACCACTGCCTGTGTGCTTGTCAGGGCCAGGAAAGCTTTGTGCCACTATATAATTCTCACTGACTAGTATCTGCTTTTTATTACGTTGACAGTCAAACCCAAAATAAGTCTGCAGTCATTTGAGCTCAGTTCCAGAACTGCAAATCCTGGACAAAGCATGGCAGTTCGGAACACCATCAGGTCTCCTGGCTCCTGTACTGTGCTTTAATCATAAGGTCATGCTTCCCTTCAGGGTCGTTCAGACAAAACGGCCAGGCGTGTTCAGATTCCCTATTTCTCAGCCTCTGAGAGTCTCCAATGTTTTCAGTCTGTGGCTCAGTTCTGAGAGAGAGCACTTACACCCTTCATGGACTCATCCTTTCCTACCATCCTAGTTGTCTGCTGGTTGGTTCTCAGTATGTTTGTTGTAGGATGGCTCCACATGGAGCACCCCGCCCCCACCAGCTGTAGAACTGGGATGTCTGCCTCAGTTTCCCCTCCTTTGAACTGTTAAATAATTTCTCTCAAACATAGTTAGCATGCTATCAATCTGGATGCCCAACCATAGCATGTTGGCTTTGTTCAGAGGTCTGAGCAGAGGAACTGTGTGGTGTGTTTAGTAACCAGCTAGGTCATGTCTCTAGCTCAGCCTGAAAATTAAACTCAAATTCTGAGTTAGTTTATGAATCATTATGGGTATTACTGTAGTGCCTAGGATCCCTCGTCCCGCACCAGGACGCCACGGGGCTAGGCTCTGTACAGACACAGAACAAAGACAATCCCTGCCCCAAAGAGCTGACCTTCTCAGTGTAAGACAAGAATCAACAGAAAACAGCCTGATGGTGGAGGACAAGGAGACGAGGAGATACTACTGGTCAGCATGACAGGCTCTGGTCTCAGCACACCAGGAATCAAACTGCCGTCAAGTTTTTTGTAGGCATCACAGTGAATTACAACTCAGCAGCCAGGATCAAACAATGTCAGAAAGCATAAGGAATGGGATGGTGAATGATACAGAGAAGGGTCATGGAGGCTAGGTGGGTGAGGTCAGATCTTTTATTGGACCAACTTCTGTTGGTGAGAGACAAGCTTTCGGCACAGCTACGGCACTGCGTACAGAGATGGATGTCCTGTAAATCAGTGGTGCAGCCTCACCTGGATGCCGTGTGCAGCTCTGGCCACCCCATCTGAGAAAGGGTCTTCCAGAACTAGACAGGGCTGAGACATACAAGGAGAATGATCAGGGGCCTGGAATTCAAGGGCCTCCTCAAAGCTAAGCTCAGACCCAGGCTTGGATCCTAGAGAAATCTGTTCTGGCTGCAGGTAGGAGGGCTGTGTAATGCTGGGTGTAGCTTTTTTGCGTGGGCAAAACCTGCTGTTAGTTTTCCTCTCTGCAGAGCAAGTGGAAACAGTTTCCCATTGGTTTTGCCAGTGCTGCGATTTATCTACATATATGGCAGGGGGGAAGTTGTGTGACGGAGGTGGTTACAGATCTAAAAAGGAAAAATCCATGTACTTCCTGGCCTTTGAGATGAGGCTTCGGCTCCAGCTGCCTCATTTTCTCCTGTCTGCAGGGCATTGGGTAGGGATTTCTCTTCTTTTCTACCTAATTAGGGTATGGCTAAAAGGAGTCACGTCAGTTATATCAGCAGGACTTTCATGTCAGTTTTATACTCCATATGAAGCTCATTACTCATTCAAATAAAGGCCGGAGCTCCGATGCCACTCATTCCTGCCCGATAGTACCCTCTGCTCTTCTCGTCTGGGCCTCTCCCACCCATCAGTGCCGGTGCGTCTCCATCCTAGTCGGCAGCACCCTGCATTGTCCCAGCCCTGACTCCCCCCACGCGCAGCTGCCAAGTTTTTTGTAGGCATCACAGTGAATTAACACTCGGCGCCAGGATCAAACGGTGTCGGAAAGCACAGGCCCTGCTGGCCCGGTCTTTACCTGCAGTTCCATCAGGGTCTGCATGGAGATTCCAGGTACACTGCACCTGGGCCTGACACCAGATTTTAACCAGGATCCCAGAAGACTATTAACTTACTGGGTCCTTTCCCCTCCCCTGCTCCAGTACCTCCAGCGCTCCGCGTGTGTGGGCGAAGATGTACATTCGTTTCATAGCTAGACCCAGCCAACTCTCAACTTCCAGTCTTCTGCTAGAATGAGTTTCTCCAGGAATCTTTAGGTTGTTGCATGGGTTTCATGTAATCTGGAGACTACTGGGGAGAGGGGGGCGTACTCGACTAAGAAGGTGAAATAGCAACTCCAGAGCTGAGAGATACACAGTGCATGGACTGTTAGAAACAGATTTTGTGAGCTGTCTCCTCTCATCTGCTGTGGTGTTCAACCTGGAGCAGTACAAGATGAGTTACTCATGTGACACAAGCCCATTCTGATCTTCAAGAGAAACTTGTCACATAGTAAACTTCCAGCCCCTGTAAAAGCTATTTATTAATAGACCAGCAATGCCAGAGGACCACAACCGGGGGCTTATGTAAGGAGCAGTTCATTGAACTAGTTAGGGCTTGTGGGACAATGCACTCTCCGCAAACAGCACTCCATTAAAGCGCACCAGCAGGGTCTACACAGGCCAATTACAGTGCCCTAAAATGTTATGCATTAGAAATCAACCCCACCCTACCCCCTGTAGAGCCTACTATCCCACTGTGTAGACAAGCCTTAGTGTACGGGAGTAGATTGCTGGAAGTTATATTGAACCGGAGAGTAAACGGTTCGACAGGCAGACCACATGAGCTGAACGTGAGAGAGATTTGATACGAAGGGGCTGTGATTAGAGGAAGCTTGGCTAGGGTTGCCTTGTTGATGTCGATGGGGTTGAGGTCTCTTATGAGCGCTCAGAAGTGTCCGAGGAGATAGGGACGTGGGAGCTGCCTTGCAGAGCTCACAGGCGTACGGCCAAATGGAGAGGGAAAGGGGTAGGGGCCAAGGTTGGTTCATTTATTGAATTGATGTGACCCAGGCTGAATTCCTGTTGTGACTTGGTGCTGATGCCTTGATTTTTCTCATCCCAGCCTATTGGTCTTTGCTGGGAAAGCCAAAACCCTTGGCCTTGCCCCAATGCCTTGTCTGTTGTACAGCGCACCTTGAGGCCTTGCCTTTTCTGTGTTCAACCTCAGCCTTTGTTGTTTGTTTGTTTGACTCTTGCCTTGCCAGTGATCTCCAGGCCAGCACCATGCTGCAAGAACCTCGCCAGGGCTGAATCCAGATGCCAGCAATTGTGTTCACTGACGGGATGCTGAATATGGCCTGTCCTGGTTTGTGCTACGCGCAACATTGCGTTCAGCGCTGTCAGCTTTTGGCGACAGGACTGAGCCCTGGAAAATGGTGCACTGGACAGTCCTACCAACCCTCGGGCTGCTAGGGCCTGGCTCGTAATATTGGGGGTGTTCTGGAAGCCCCAGCTCCTTCAGTCATGTGCTACAGAAGGGGCTCACTCCATTTGGAGCCCTCCTGGCCATGGAGAAAAGCTGTAATGTAACCCAGGTACACCCCAAAGGCTCAAAGTAGATAGCAAATGAATCCTCAACCTTCATTCTTGTTTGAGCCAGTCTCATGATTTTGGGGACCTGCCTTGGAACTTTGGCTCACCAGAGATTGGAGTACTGAGGCCAGGGTAGGACACATGCTGTCAGTCCCCAAGTACGGTGTTTGAGGGAGGGTCTGAGGAGAGAGCAGTGAGGGGTGCAAAGGAGACCACTATGTTGGGTCATAAACTCCCTGGTGTTCTCCCACAATCCCCATTGCAAGGCAGGTCAAAGAGAGTCCATCTTAGGCTACAGGGTGAATTTGTCTCCGGAGCTTAGCTGAGCACTATTAAGTGCCGCAGTGCTGCTGTTTGCCAGCTCAGGCAGCTTTCAGTGATGCTTCGACCCTTCTCCTTCCCTTCAGTTTTGTAACTAGTTTTTGTCTGGTTAACATCCCCTGTCAGTCTGGCTGCGCACTGGTCACCCCTGCCTACTGGCTGCAGATAGGTCTGGGGAGGAGTGAGTACTCTGTAGCTTGATTAGCTGGCCCCGCTCTCCCAGGGCACAGTCAGTGCCATTTTTTCTTGGGTGACAGTGGGAGTGATGGGCTGGCCCAGAACCTGCGGGAGCAGAACTACCTTTCAGGTTCCCAGGTTGGTACAGACAGCAAGATACTGTGATCCTCAGGCTTAAAAGTGTGAGGAGACAGAGACTGTTTGGCAAGCGTGTTGACGTGTGCTAGAGATGCCAAAGTGAACAAATACCATCAGAATCCCCCAAACTATCAACTGACACTGCCTTGTGCAAATAAAAAGGTTTGCCTACAACCTGCCTCTTCTAATCACTGTAAAAATCTCCATCTGCAAGCTCTCTTCCTTCTCATTCTGTGCCCCAGTGGATGTCTGCTGGTACCCTACAGCTATGATTGAGATCATGGATGACAGCTACATCCACCACACAAAGGGCTGGAGCAGTAACCTGTACTGCTAACAATTGCCCAGCAGCAATTAATGGGAGGTGGGAACCATGGTATTTTACAGCTCTGCTCAGTCACTAATGGAGCTGAGATGGGGAGGAACGGGGGGGGGGGGGGGTGCATTTTGCAGCTGCAAGACCAGTTTTCCCACCCCACCCATATTCACAGATCCACAGGTGATTAGCCCTTGGGGCCAGATACTCTTAGCATTTTATTGGTCTGAGAAGTAAAATGGTAGTTTTGGGTTTAGCTGAATGGGAGTCTGTTGCCCCAGGGAGGGACTGACCTGGAGGGTAGAGCCCTCTGAGGCAGAGAAGCTCACTGAGCAGAGAGGTAGTAAACCCAGAATAGACCCTGACATTGATTTTCTTCTGTAAGTTCACTGTGGTTTGGTGCTCCATGGTTAGACATCCTGGGTCCATATGTCCAGGTGCTCCTACCTATTCTCTCTTCAGTTATCCTAACAACTGTGTATACTACGTACTCTCCATCCTCTGCCTTATATTTTAGATTGAATCATGTACCCCTTTTTGTTTTGAACGTCAGGTGTTGCCCTTCTGTCAGATGTGTACCCAGAGCAAATCCTCCCCTGCCTACTGGCCCAGTATGGCTGCACTTCACCAGGCACCACAGGACCCCAGACTGCAGAGACCAGGATGAAAGTGGGAGAGGTGCTGATGCGGGTAACCCGGGCACTGGGTGAGTCTACAGCAGTTTCTCTTTTGGAGGGTGTACCAAATACTGCATCAGAGCCACTTGTACCATTACTCTTGTGTATGGCCAAGGGCTTTTATTGCTGTCTGTGTGTCCATGTTCCAGTGAAGATTAATTTTCCTGATATCTGCTGGGAGAGCAATACAGCGGTGCATAGACAATCCAGGAAGTTTTTGGAAAGCGTAGGGGACAATTTCCTGGTGCAAGTGCTAGAGGAGCCAACTGGGGGGGGAGTTTTTCTTGACCTGCTGCTCACAAACCGGGAAGAATTAGTGGGGGAAGCAAAAGTGGATGGGAATCTGGGAGGCAGTGACCATGAGTTGGTTGAGTTCAGGATCCTGACACAGGGAAGAAAGGTAAACAGCAGGATACGGACCCTGGACTTCAGGAAAGCAGACTTCGACTCCCTCAGGGAACAGATGGGTAGGATCCCCTGCGGGGCTAACATGAAGGGGAAAGGAGTCCAGGAGAGCTGGCTGTATTTCAAGGAATCCCTGTTGAGGTTACAGGGACAAACCATCCCAATGTGTCGAAAGAATAGTAAATATGGCAGGCGACCAGCTTGGCTTAACAGTGAAATCCTAGCGGATCTTAAACGTAAAAAAGAAGCTTACAAGAAGTGGAAGTTTGGACATATGACCAGGGAAGAGTATAAAAATATTGCTCGGGCATGCAGGAATGAAATCAGGAGGGCCAAATTGCACCTGGAGCTGCAGCTAGCAAGAGATGTCAAGAGTAACAAGAAGGGTTTCTTCAGGTATGTTGGCAACAAGAAGAAAGCCAAGGAAAGTGTGGGCCCCTTACTGAATGAGGGAGGCAACCTAGTGACAGAGGATGTGGAAAAAGCTAATGTACTCAATGCTTTTTTTGCCTCTATCTTCACGAACAAGGTCAGCTCCCAGACTGCTGCGCTGGGCATCACAGCATGGGGAGTAGATGGCCAGCCCTCTGTGGAGAAAGAGGTGGTTAGGGACTATTTAGAAAAGCTGGACGTGCACAAGTCCATGGGGCCGGACGCTTTGCATCCGAGAGTGCTAAAGGAATTGGCGGCTGTGATTGCAAAGCCATTGGCCATTATCTTTGAAAACTCGTGGCGAACGGGGGAAGTCCCAGATGACTGGAAAAAGGCTAATGTAGTGCCAATCTTTAAAAAAGGGAAGAAGGAGGATCCTGGGAACTACAGGCCAGTCAGCTTCACCTCAGTCCCCAGAAAAATCATGGAGCAGGTCCTCAAGGAATCAATCCTGAAGCACTTACATGGGAGGAAAGTGATCAGGAACAGTCAGCATGGATTCACCAAGGGAAGGTCATGCCTGATTAATCTAATCGCCTTCTATGATGAGATTACTGGTTCTGTGGATGAAGGGAAAGCAGTGGATGTATTGTTTCTTGACTTTAGCAAAGCTTTTGACACGGTCTCCCACAGTATTCTTGTCAGCAAGTTAAGGAAGTATGGGCTGGATGAATGCACTATAAGGTGGGTAGAAAGTTGGCTAGATTGTCGGGCTCAACGGGTAGTGATCAATGGCTCCATGTCTAGTTGGCAGTCAGTATCAAGTGGAGTGCCCCAAGGGTCGGTCCTGGGGCCGGTTTTGTTCAATATCTTCATAAATGATCTGGAGGATGGTGTGGATTGCACTCTCAGCAAATTTGCGGATGATACTAAACTGGGAGGAGTGGTAGATATGCTGGAGGGCAGGGATAGGATACAGAGGGACCTAGACAAATTGGAGGATTGGGCCAAAAGAAATCTGATGAGGTTCAATAAGGATAAGTGCAGGGTCCTGCACTTAGGACGGAAGAACCCAATGCACAGCTACAGACTAGGAACCGAATGGCTAGGCAGCAGTTCTGCGGAAAAGGACCTAGGGGTGACGGTGGATGAGAAGCTGGATATGAGTCAGCAGTGTGCCCTTGTTGCCAAGAAGGCCAATGGCATTTTGGGATGTATAAGTAGGGGCATAGCGAGCAGATCGAGGGACGTGATCGTCCCCCTCTATTCGACATTGGTGAGGCCTCATCTGGAGTACTGTGTCCAGTTTTGGGCCCCACACTACAAGAAGGATGTGGATAAATTGGAGAGAGTCCAGCGAAGGGCAACAAAAATGATTAGGGGTCTGGAACACATGAGTTATGAGGAGAGGCTGAGGGAACTGGGATTGTTTAGTCTGCAGAAGAGAAGAATGAGGGGGGATTTGATAGCTGCTTTCAACTACCTGAGAGGTGGTTCCAGAGAGGATGATTCTAGACTATTCTCAGTGGTAGAAGAGGACAGGACAAGGAGTAATGGTCTCAAGTTGCAGTGGGGGAGGTTTAGGTTGGATATTAGGAAAAACTTTCTCACTAGGAGGGTGGTGAAACACTGGAATGCGTTACCTAGGGAGGTGGTAGAATCTCCTTCCTTAGAAGTTTTTAAGGTCAGGCTTGACAAAGCCCTGGCTGGGATGATTTAATTGGGGATTGGTCCTGCTTTGAGCAGGGGGTTGGACTAGATGACCTCCTGAGGTCCCTTCCAACCCTGATATTCTATGATTCTATGGTAGAAAACTTTGAAGTTGAAGTTTTCACTGCAAATTTTTAGTTTATTGAATTTTTTTTTTCAGATCTACAAAAATAAAACATATTGTGAAAAGTTTGCACTTTCCAGTAGTGAGACTACTGTAAGTTTGATGGGTTAGTACTGGTCACTTAAACCAGATGTGCCCAGACTTTACCCAGCTGAGGCCACACTGGGAATTTGAGGGCAGTGTCTATCTGGCATAAAATGAAGAAGACAGCAAGCAACATCCTCGTTTACTGTTCATGGCCAGGCTGCTTGGATCAAGATGGAACGTCTGTTTGGTGTGACGGCTGCACTTTGGTCGCCCTGACTTAAAGCTACTCATTTGTGACTTGATTTTCAGGTGCGCTGAGCACCTCCAGCTCCTGCTGACTTGAATGCACACCCCCTAAAATCAGGCCTTCAGCACATTAGAATAGTTATCAGAACTACATGCCATGCCCAAAGGAATGTTCAACCATTAGAATCGCACTGCTGTGTAAAAGCCCCAGATGCAACCCACATCTCCAGCAGGTACACCAACCCACTCCTTCCCCAAATACCTATAGGGGTAATGAGCCTGGCAGTGTGCCCAGAAGGCTAATGAATTCCAACCCTGACAGAACAAGGGAGGAAGCAAATCCAGCATCCAGAAGCCTTTGTAAAGAACATCCCGCCCACCACCCACAAACCAATGGGATTTCAGCTTGAGCACCTCTGCTTATTGTGACTGCATTGGCAGATATTGCACAGGGTGAAGGATAGTCCCCTGGGTAAGATGTCAGCACAGAGCACTGGTGTAATGTGCTCTCAGCATGTCATGGAGACATAGAACTAACATGATTGTTTTTAAGGAAATGCTCAATAGATTGGGCTCCATGTCCTTCCCTGTGTGATCCAAATAGATTGCCTGTCCCTTTAAGTTAAATAGCTGCTGGTAGAAATGTTAACCTATTTCATGTTTTACAAAGAACTGAGATTTCTATCCTAGGTTGTAGTTTAGGAAAAACTTAAGGGTATTTCAACTCTAGAACAGCCTTCCAAGGAAGGTTGTGGAATCCCCATCACTAGAGGTTTTTAAGAACAGTTTAGACGACAAAGACCAGTGGTCCCCAACCTTTCTTGTGGGAATAGCATATTGCTATTCCTAGAAGACTGTGGCAGGCGCCAAACACCCCACCACCAAAATGCCGCGGCCAAAAAGTGGCAACGGGAAGAAGTGCTGCCACTGAAATGCCACTGAGAAATGGCAACGCTTCTTGGCGGCATTTCAGCGGCGGGTTGTCCTGCGGGCACACAGAAATGCCCTGGCAGGCGCCATGGCACCCACAGGCACCGCACTGGGGACCCCTGACTTAGACCATCTCGGACAAGTGTTTAACTTGGTCCTGCCTCAGTGTTGGGGCTGGATTAGATGACCTCTCCAGGTCCCTTCCAGCCTGACATTTCTATGGTTCTTCATGTATTTACCCCAGGCAAAATCAGAGGGGAAAGTTATCAGCTGGGCTAGTGACCTGTGAGCTACAGTTGGTTGATTAGACTCTTCCAAACTTCAGTGCTTCCCTTCCACAGGGAAGCACTGGGAAGGTTTGGGCAGGAGGTGCTGTCATGTTAAACAATTGCCTGTCTTGCACCTCAAGTCGATGATGGAGTTTGGCAACTGAATCATAAGTTACTCAGCAGAGAGCAGAACGGCAGGAACTTGCAGCCCAGGAAGGTCCAGACATTGCTAATGCTGGTGGTTTTTGTCCTTGCTGCTGCCAGAGTCTCACTGTAGAGCGGGTGTTGTGGGATGCCAAGACACACAGGGTGGAGGGATAAAATAAAGCTGGACAAGTCTCTTCTGGCAGCTGCTGTAACAAGTAATACCTAAAAGTGTGCCCTGCCTCTTCACAGGCTAAGCTAAACAAACCAAAAGGAAAAAGAGCCAGGATTTCCCTTCCTCTCCTGACCTGAAGGTGCTTAGGCTTTGGCTTTCCCTTTGTGAATCAGGAAGGCTAGATGCAGCTCTACACCAGAGGAGAGGTATTTGGAACCGCAAGGGGAGTCCAGGGCTCAACATACTGCCTCCACACTGCTTATGTTCACCCAAGAGCTAACCTGGAGACCCAGGCCTGCTAACCAGCTGAGTCTCCAGAACCCGATCCTCCCGGGAAGGAGTGATGCCCTTGAATGAAGAGTGCAGAGTAATCCGTGATCCCCATTGACAGGTGGATCTAAACAACTTCCCTCTGTGGGATTTCAGGATTTGGCCGGGCAGGGCCTGCAGCCGATGCCATTGTAACTAGCACCAGTCCCAAAGCAGGGTGCCTTGGAGCTTAGTATCTCCTTCTGCTCCTTGGAGAAGTAGTGATCCCTCTAGTTTCTCTGAGACAATTGCCTCATAAACCCAGCTCTGGCTTCTCTTCCATCTCAGGATACTGGAGCCTTGGCGCTTGTTGTGTTG